TTTGTAGTACATGCTAAGTAACAGATATGACGCTGTATGTGAAAAAAAAAAGTGTTTTCCGCTTTTCTGTTGAAATCTTTCTTCAATTTTTTTTTGCTATGAACATCGCGGAGTCCGAGACCTTTCCAACGAATGCAAAATCGTCGAAATCGGTTCATGCGTTCTGGAGTTATATCGTCAGGAAGGAAAACCCGACTTATTTTTATATAATAGATATTAAAATTTGAAAAAATGTCCCATACGTACGGGATGGAATCTCCCTGACACGCTCACATATTTATACTTGAGGATATAATTAGGAATTTAGTATTTGTAGCTTAATATACTCTTAAGCTAAGTTATAGCTAAAAAAAAATTCTATATATTTTTGTAAGTTACCCAGAACTGCCTTAAAAATTTATTTAAATCTTATGAATTTTTACGTATGGAATATTTAAAGATAATAATAATAATAGTAGTAGTCTGCCCGAAGGCAGGTTCATGGTATGGGAGCACCACAAAATGAATGATTTGCCTTTCCTCCCTTATTTATTATTCTAATTTTTTAATTAACAAAAATTAATCACTTTTTTTTAAGATTTTTGTTTTATACGCTCTATATTTATATAAGTTTTGGTTATATAAATATATATTGTTACAAAAAATTGTAGATAATTTTATAAACTTTAATTTTTCCAAAGGCTGTATTTTAATATATTTTTTTTATGTAATATATTAAAATTTGAAAAAATGTCCATGCGGAAATGCATATAAGGTCTATCAAGTACAAGTTCTAGCTACAAATTTCCAAAATTTGACTGAATCTTTAAAATACTTCTAGTTATTTTACAAGAAAGTGTTATAATACAAAACTAGTTGGTTTGGTATTTAGCCTTGAGGCAAGTTACATGAACTTCCCGATATATGTAAATAATCGACTCAATCAATAAAAAATAAATTAATTTATGAGTGATTAAAAGTATTTCAAGTGGATTTATTACACATAATTGAAAACCAACAAACACGTTAATTGGAGTATTTTCTAAAAGCAAATTTTCGAAAATCAATATTTTTTTAATTGAACCAGCTTCCGTAGGACTTTAATGATTTATTACGTTTATTAAGACCAAGTACTCTATCGTTATACCAAGTGAATCGTCTAAGTTTAATTTTAACAAACGTCAAAAAACTACTCATCACAAACTTTGATGAATTTTTAAAATTAAACTACTTGTCGTAAGGCCGTAATAATTCAGTAAGTTCTATAAGACCATGGTATATATCGCCAAAAAAAGTTCCATAAACATCGTCTTAACTTTTTTTTTCAACAGTTAATTACAAGAAAACGGCTCGGTAGATTTTCACCTAAAACTAATCAGTATCATTCTCAACCAATATCTTTCGAACAGTTTTTGATTTTTAAAATCGATTCGGTAGAATGAGCTTAAATGTAGACAAAAAGTTTAACACTTTTTTCCAAATTTCAAAGAAACGGCTCGGCCAATTGTCGCACAAAAGTGACGAGCGATAGTCCTCATTGAGACACATCAAATGGTTTTTAAATTTCTGAAATCGGTTCAGGCGTTTTTGAGCAATCGTCGATGAAAGGTCTAATTTTGACAAATGCCAAAAGAACGATACTAACTTTGACGAATTTTTAAAGCTAAACCAATTGTCGTAGGGCCGTAATATTTTGGTATGATCTAGAAGACTATGGTATCTACCGTCAAAAAAATAATCATCAAAATCGTCGAAAAAATTTTTTAACACTTTATTACAAGAAAACGGCCCGGCCGATCTCTACCAACAACTCATCAGCACGATTCCCAATCAATATCTTTCGAACGGTTTTTGAATTTTCAAGATCGATTCACAACTGCGGGCTAAAACGTGGACGAAAAATTTTTCACTTTTCTGCTATTTACAAAGAAACGGCTTGGCTGATCGTCGCGCAAAATTGATAAACGCTAGTCCTCATCGAGATACATCGAATGGCTTTTAAATTTTTAAAATCGGTCCAGTCATTTTTTGAGAAAACGTCGATTTACGGCAAAAAATCTGTTCACATACACACACACACACACATACACACACACACATACTTTTTCCAAATTTGGTCTCATTCGATTCAGAATGGCTTGAAACGTCGAGAAAACATAAAATTAGCGAATCGGATTTTTTTATGAAAACATAAACTTCTCCTTCGGGAAGTTAATTATAGAAAATTTGATTAGCTATAACTTTTCAAAAGAGTTCATTAAGCTATGATAAGTATTTTTTAAGTTATGACACAAAACGTAAAACAGTCACATAAAAGTTAAGAGGATGTTTTTTTTTTATTTCAGAGGCTTCTATACAAATCTTTTACAAATATAAATTATTCCATGTTACATATTTATACATATGATATATATATATACATAAATATATTATTATATGTTATAATTAACCATGTGTATTTATGTTTAAATAATTATATGGAGTTTGGCGCCGGCAGTAAAATGCAAAAGCTAAAATATAAATATTTTATGTGTTCCAATTTCTTTTTAGTAAATAAATACTAACAAAGATATTCTCATGTATTTTTTATATTTTTTGCGAACGTCTCAGACTACCTAATAATCTTTGTATTTTATATTCTTGTGTTTAACAGATTTAATAGTTGGAAAAAAAATCTAAAGTTCATTCTCAGTTTTTATAATACAACTTGCAAAAACTTGGATTTAACTCAAAATAGTTAAAAATCGTCTTAAGGGGGGTTTACTGTGTATGTATATATAAATAAATTCAAGGCAATTTGTTGCTAATAAATTATATTTATTATATATTATACATAATATATACCATCTAACAATTTTTATAATTTAAAACTACAATACAATTGCACTAATATATATTATAAATATGTTTTATTTTGTAAGAATAGGCCATAAACTTTACACATTATTTTTATATTATTTATTATATATACTTAATTTTGATAAATATTTAATATAAAATTAAATAATACATATATACATATACATTTATTACCACATAATACTCTTAAGTATTTTACTTTTATATATTATACTATATTATTATACACATTTTTTGTTTTGACCATATAATTTTTTATATTTAAATTTTTTATTAAAATCAACACTAAATTCATTTTTTGCTCTTCAAGATCTTTCTTTTGATATGTCACATGCAAAATAGTGTCCCATTTGCCTATTGGCAAGTTGCACATTATTCTCCTAATAAGTATACTCTAGTCAATGAAGCGTTTTGGGTCTGAATTTTTTTACTGAGCATGAAATTTTGGTATAAGGTTCATCTTACCCTCAAGTTCAAAAGTGAAAACAATTCGGGTTCTGCCACCACCCTCCAAAAGGGACGACACCCTTTCTCAGTTGTGTAATTTTATTTTTTCAAAATAACGTCAGATATCGATAGAAGAACTAATTATAAAAAAAAGTTTTTTAAAGTTTATCAAAAAAACGAATACTTTTTAAGTTACTGGCTACTAAAAATTTCTAACCATTATAAAATTAATTAAAACATTATAATTAAAAACCAAATTCGTTATCTGCTCTTCAGGCCCTTTCCTTTGATATGTCACATTTAAAATAGTGTCCAATTTGTCTTAAGGCAGGTTGCTGGTCTTCATCATAATTTGGCAACAAAGTCAGTTTTAGTATTTTCTTATAGAATAAATATAGATGAAAATTATTGATAGATTTATACTGCCCTCTTCGAGGGCTTTCAAATGATATGTAACATGCCAAAAGTTGTTGGTGATCTTATTGGCAAGTTGCCAATTTACCACTGGATGTGAAGAACCAGGCCTTATATGGCAAAATAATTTAAAACGAGTACTAAATTTATTTTTAGCTCTTTGAGGTCTATTTTTTTACATGTCACATGCAAAAAACAAGTTAATCTTTTGCTTATTAGCAAGTTGTACTAAAAATTGCTAGTACTGCTTTCTGGCCAGAAGGTTTTTGGTTCAATTTTACGTTTCAAACAACCCGGCAACCACCAATTGGACGTTGACTTTTCTTACATCAAAAATATTTCATTTATAATGTTAGTCTTGTCTAATTCGAGTTGGAGTTGATGATTCAAACTATTTATGGACTTGCCTTCGAGAAAAGGTTGAAACATCATCATTCATTAAAAATATCTCCAAATCCCGTCTCCAGAAGAACAAGATGCAAGTGCAAATCTTCTAAATTAGAGTGAGTCATCACGTGGTGACGACACCAATGAGAGCATGTCTTGTCTTGGATCAAAAATATTTTAATAATAATGCTAGTCTTTACTGATTTGAGTTGGAGTTTAAAATCCAATCTATTTCTGGGCCTGTTTTCAAGCAAATCCTCATTCATTAATATAATATAAATCTCAGAACCACGTCCCCAAAATTTGATGTTAGTGCAAATCTTCTAAACTAGAGAGCCGTCATCACGTGGTGCCGCACACCACTAATGGGACCATGACTTTTCTTGGATCGAAAATATTTCAACGATAATGTTAGTCTTGTTTGATGAGTTGAGGATCCAATCTATCCATGGACCTCCGTTCAAGCCAAGCATTAGTTCTCATCCATTAATATAAATCTCCAAACCCCATTCCCAGAACATGATGCTGATATGTAGTAGCTGGAACCATGACTTTTCTTGCGTCAAAAATCTTTCAATATCAATGTTAGTCTTTCTAACAACTTGGCACTACAAATATTAGTCTTGTTTGATTCTAGTTAGAGTTGAAGATCCAATCTATTCGTGGATCTGCCTTCAATCTATTATAAAGCTCTGAACTTTGTGCCCAAAGCGAGTTGCTGATGCAAATCTTGTAAACTTGAGTAGGTCCTCACGTAGGCCTGCTGACGATCAATGGAAAGCCTGGATATTTTTTTTATTTCTTGGATCAAAAACAGGAAATTGCTTTAGATCGGAATTTTGTGAATCAAGTTAAGGCTAAAGATTCAATTTATCCAACGACCCTCCTTCAAGCAACGCCACCATCTTCATCCACTAATATAAATCTCCGAACCCAGTCCCCAAAACATGATGCTGATGCAAATCTTCTAAGCTCGAATGCGACATCACATGGTGCCTGCTGACGACCAATGGGGACCCCGAGTTGTCTCCACCGACTATGACGTCGGATCCTGATGGCGTCAGGAGTGAAGACGTCGTAACGTCACTCGTGGTCGAACTTCTGTCACTGGAGGCACCACTGGGCACCTGGGTGGGTTGGTTGTTGGAAGGAGCAGAACCTGAGGAAAAAACAGACTTAATAGAGTTTTTTTTTTGTCAAATCCAAAAGTTTTTTAGAAGAGTATCTAAAGTCATTGATGACAAGTTGCTTAAGATGCAATAATTTTATAACCACTCAACCAATTGTTACCAAATTTTTGAGGAAGTAAATCATTTCTCTAAGGGACTATCCCACTTCCATTTTATTTTATAACACTTACCGTGATGGTGCATTGATGTCTGATGATTTGAATTAGACGACGTTTCGTTCCTCATTACGTTCCTTCGCCATTTTGCGCGCGCATTTTGAAACCAAACCTAGAATTGAAAATACATTTATTCACCTAAACCATAAAGCTAAGCACTAACATATAGAATTGGTTCCAATTTGTGATTTTCTGAACCAATTTACCAAGTCTGTGATGGTCGTACCAAAAATTAGTTCGAGACAAAATTGTAGAGAATTTTATAAACTTCAATTTATCTTCAGACCGTTTGAAGCTCTGGTAACTAGTTTTTGAGTTATGACTGAAAATATAAAAAAACATAAACTTCTCCTTCGGGAAGTTAAAAAAAACGTCCGTGTTACGTTTTTGTTGCGTAATCTGCACGTACTGTAGTGACTTTGTCATATATTTTAAATCATAACATGAAAACTATTATTTGTATCTGGATAGTGTCTTTAGATAAATTTAAGTTTATAAAATTATCTAAAATATTTACTAAGATAGTTTTATGCTGCGGCAGCTAGAATTTAGGTTAGGACTACGTTTCTGTCTGTGCTACGTTTTTGTTGCGTAACAACCACGTGCTTTGCGTAACTAAGACCAATGCGAGAATAATTAATAGTACATTTTTTTATATTTTAGATCATAACTCGAAAGTTATAACTAGTATTTAGATGGTGTTTTCAGATAAATTAAAGCTTATAAAATTATCTAAAACATTTGCTAACACTATGTCATTGTATAATTAATATTTCTATATTTAAATATCATCTTATCTTACCTGTAAGACACGTTTCGATAATCCAGTTTTCTGCGCCAACTGTTTCAAATCCTTGGCGTCTGGATTTTGATTTATTGCAAAATAGGATTTCATGGTTCTCAATTGGTGATGTTTGAATGATGTCCTCATCCTTTTTGTTCTGGAAATAAAACCAGACTTTCATGTAAATTAAGCCTAATTCACCCACTGCACTCTAAATATAAACTACTTTGTGTTTTAGCTAATCATGCATTTATGTAATAAATGTTTCATAATTTTTGAAAGGTTTTTGTAATGCAACTCATATTGAATGATAAACAACTTTTTCTACCAATATAAGTCTCTACAACAACTTGGTGTACTTGTAAAATGCACTAAAAACAACAAATATCATCGATGACAATAAAGACATAATAATGGTTAAAATCATCTAGGCATTTTCTGGCTATTTCTCAATCTGTAATTTTTAATATTACCTGGAAGTCCCTGAGACACTCATAACGCTACCCGGCGATTGAGAACCATCATAAGAATCCATGTCCATAGAATGTTCCATATCAGAATGAAGCATATCTAGAAAAATTGGTGAAATCTCGTTTATCAATTGTTTTGTTCACAATTTTTTTTAGTACATACCCATTCTGAGAGATAAATCACTAACGCCTTCATTGCTGGTGATGCTGGGAGTTTTACGTTTCCTGGGCCTGCCTTTTTGAGGTCCCAAACCTGATGGGGTCAGACCGTGTTGGAAGTATTGGGCTTGCACCAGGGCATCACTAAAAGTAGACAGAAATTATAGACGATTTTTTATGTTTTTTGGATTGTAGCACGAAAAGTTGTTATTGAGGATTCTTATGATATATAGATAAATTGAAGTTTGTAAAATTCTCAACAAAATTTGTTTGAAACATATTTAGTGCTTTCTAATAACAAATGCTTCAAAAATGCACCTAAAGTTAATGATCAAAGTCATTATCAAGTAGTCAGTTTGATTAGAATTTTAGTATCTAAGAATTGTTTCTATAAAATTTGTAGACAATTTTATCACCTGCAAATCTTCCAAAAACAGTATTTATCTTGATCAACATGTTTCCCATAAATGCCCAAAAACTAAAACACTGCCCATTCTCCATAATGAGAAATGTGCAAAGCCCCACAGTGTTGAGCTCACAAAACCCCAAGATTTGACTTCACAACAAAACGTTTCAAGCACAATTCCTAGGCAATTTTATAACCTACAAATCCCCCAAAGACAACTTTCTCCTCCTTCAACTACTTTCCCATTATCTTCCAAACACTAAAAACCATCCATCCTCCAACTCACCTTTCTTGAGAAATATGCAAAGCTGCACAGTGTTGGGCACAATAAACGACTCCATCTCGTACTGCAGCAGTATCTCCTTTTGCCAGGGCCCTACTGCAGGCCCTGCAGGCAAAACAACGGACGTGAAAAACTAAAGAGCGGGCCCTGAACACCAATTCGCTCCTGGAAATGCCCATTCCGCACCCGGAGCAACAACGGGTAATAGAAAACGTCCTGGGAAAAGAGGAGGAAATTAGTGATGTGTTTTTGGGTTTTGGGTTGTAAGTCGGAAAATAGATGTCGGAGTGGAAAATTGTGTTAGGACAAATTAAAGTGAATTAAATTTATTTATATACAACATATTTTTGTAAAATTAAAAATTATATTTAAAAATTGCATTTGAAAATCAAGTATGCACTCACAATTTATAGATCATACTAGAATATGACTATCCTACAAGTCGTTTAATTTTAAAAAATTGTCAAAGTTTGCAAAAGTTAGTGTCGTTTTTTTTGGCGTTTATCAAATTTATAACTTTTATCGTCGTTTGCTCAAAAACGCCTGAACCGATTTCAAAAATTTAAAAGTTATCGATGTATTTTGGTGTGGATTATTTGTGCAGCGATCGGCCGAGCCATTTGGAAAAAAGTGTTAAACTTTTCGTCCACATTCAAGCTCATAGTACCGAATTTATAGACAATTTTATCAGCTATAAGTTATCTCAACAAAGTATCTACATACAATTGCCAGTTTTTGAGTTATTATTCAAAATTTTATATATATATATATATATATATACTCGTATATATATATATATATATATATATATATATCTTCTATATATATATATATATATATATATATATATATATAAAAATAAGTAGGGTTTTCCTTCCTGACGATATAACTCCAGAACGCACAAACCGATTTCGACAATTCTGCATTCGTTGGAAAGGTCTCGGGCTCCGCAAGGTTTATAGCTAAGAAAATTAGTTGTGCATGGCATCGTGCCTTAATGCAAGCTGCTGGAACTTCACGCACCGTAATTAAAAATTCGAGTAATGACATTAGTGAGAACTATCAGAATTATGCTTGGTTAAGTCAACGAACAATTTTCGCCGCAAAGAATGATGATGTACACGCACTGAACTTCACCATTCAATCAAAAATTGCTGGCGATTTGGTGACATACCAATGATTCCGACAAGTCTTTCGTTTGACTTCAAACGATTGCAATTTCCAGTTCGCCTTGCGTTCGCAATAACAAGTCGCAAGGCCCATCGCTTAGTGTTTGCGGGATAAATTTCAAATAGATTATTTAGAAAATCATTGTTTTTCACATGGGCAGTTATACGTTGCCTGTTCACGAGTTGGAAAACCATCCGCTTTGTTTGTGTTAACGTCAGACCAAAAAACAAAAAATATGGTTTACCAAAGAGCACTTCAATGAAACGGATAATTGGCGGATTCACTTTCATTTACTTAGAGAAGTTCAACAACAGCTCGATTTTTGTAATCGAAATAAATTCATTACTGTTGTATAATAAAATCAAATTTTTACTTTTCAAATATAAAACAAACAAAAAATTTCTTCATCTTTCTCACGAAACCATCTGGTGGCGAAAAGAAGTTCGTCGGGTTTGCTAGTATATATATATCATCAAAACTATCATCATATATATATATATATATATATATATATATATATATATATATACATATTATTCTTCCTTGGGAATTATTATTAAGCTATCAAAAGGTTTCCTTTAATAAAATTATAACACAGAAGGTGTCTAAATAATATATTTCTCGTTCCCTAAAAATGATTCAGCATTTCTTAATAATGTCCGACTTGTCAGTCAAAAGTCAAATGTAATCGTAAATTGTATAAATACATACATATACATATAAAAATGTATAGAAGAATATATATGTATATATACATACTTATATAAATGTAAAATAAACACCTGAATATGTATAGCTTTTGTTGATTTGTTATTTTCATCTGTTATTTCCGCTTTTTTGACACTTTTTGTTCACCTGTTGGAAAAAATTACTTTCCTATATAAATATACATATATCTATGTACATATCGTATGTATATATATATAATTCATAAAGGCAGGTACATGATTTTGACTTGCTTTTTACGTCATATGTAGTTTTCAAACGTAATTTTAGAAGATAACTTTTAGTTTACACTTTTTTTTTATTTTCATATTATATAACAATCAGAGTTATTTACATACCCTATGAGTTATATGGGTAAATTACACATTATAATAATAATAAAAATAATAATCACAGAAATAAATGAAAAAAACATAACAATAATAATAATAAATAAATAAATAAAAATAGATAAAAAATACAGAAAAAAATAAAGAAAGTGAAAAGAAACAAAAGAGAAAAGTTTTACACTAAAGTACTTTTAGTGAATGTTTTAGATAATTTTTATACTATGCTATAATTTATCTGGAGACAGTATCTAAATATATTTTGATGCAATTATTTAAGAATGTACTTATATATATTATATATATATATATATATATATATATATATATATAATTTTAACAATGCTCATCTATTCAAGCACATAATAACAAGTTTCTCTTCGAAAAAAAACAGTTTCTGTTTTTTTTGGCCTCAACCGAAAATTTTAATGAAGACATTTCACACTCTAAAAAATTATATATACATATATATATATATATACATAAATAATATATATAATATATATATATACAAAGCATTTTCTAGTATTTATTTTATTCAATTTTAAAAACACTTCTGTATTTGTAGTCATCAAATTATCAAAATCTACGTTTTTACTAATTTTTTGGTTGAATTTTTTATATTTGGCTTAATATTGGCAAAATTAATTTTAATATGTATATATTATCTGAAAGCTAATAAAATTATCTATAAATTTGTATATAACAATTTTTAGAGCTTAGAACAAAGTTATATTAAAAAAAATTGTTGAACTTTGAAGTTACAACAATTGATATCTACCTAGTTTACCCGGTGTAATTTTTTTGCACAAAGCTTGATAATTTTAAAATATAATTTTTAGGACATATTTATTATTATATAATTTTGAAAAGCTTATAAAATGTTCTATAAATCTGTATATAACATTTAATACAGTTTCAAAAAAATTTATTTAATAAAAATTCAATAAACTTTGAAATTGCAAATCTATAATTGCTTTCCTTGTGCAAATGCCAGTAATATCTATTTTATAAATTAATATTATTGTACACAATTGTTTATTATTTTTTTAATTTTTTTTTTACATTTACCTAACTGAATAACTAATAAAAAAATCACGTTTACTGATAAACTAAAATAACTAAATATAACTAAATTACTATACATTTTAAAAAAAAATCTTACCTGTAATAATCTTCTTTGCAATAAATATTTCCATCCCTGGAATAACAGGATAATTCTGAATCTAAAGGTTGACTACACCTGCAACATCTAAAAAAGAAAGAAATGACTGTAATTCGCATTGAATTTTGCTTCAATAAATAACTTAAATAAATTTGCATTAAATTTATTTCTTACAAAATCCTGTTTTTTCCAAAACAATTTAAAACCATGCACACAAAAAAGTGAATAGTCATAAATTTTTCAAAATCTATTAAAAAAAACGTCGGATTTATGCACTTTCTTTTTATTAAATTTTAAGCAAAATTATTCATCTATAAGTAAGAAATACTTTTGTGTGCAAATTTTCAAATATTTTGGATCTTCCACACCCAAAAATCTGGAGTTCTAGTAAAACTAGACAGTGACTTTTTTCAGGTTTAGTCAAATAACTTTTTATTTAATCATGATAGAAAATTTTTGTATTAGACCTATAAATTCTACATAAAATTAGCTGAAAAACTATATTTATCAATGTTTGTACTAAGTAAATATTTACCTCAAACAATTAGCATGCCACGCCCTATCCACTGCCAAAAGGTAAAATCTATCCCTGATGATTTCTCCACAGGCAAAACAGAAAGGAACACTTTCATTTTTCAATTCCTCATTTAAATTTGTGAAATTTTCATTAGAGGTCGTATTTGGGTTTTGATTTGGGTTTATATTGGAATTATTGTTATTGCTTTGGGGATTCGAGAGGTCTATGAGGTCTGATGACCCGCGATCAGGGTCTTGTTGGAGGATTAGATCTTTCAGCATGGTGAGGGTGGAAGTTTGGGGATTTTTTGTAAATAATTTGTTCTGGAGGTTGGTAATCGGGAGATGTGGATTGGAGGATGATTGTATCAGCTTTTTATTGATATATAACACTTTGCATTTGTTTAAATAAATTGAAGCACAATTTAGAAAAATGCTACTCGTCCACTAGATGTCTCGATTGGTAGTATCAAAGTTCACCAATTTTTGGTAATTAATTTTGTTCCAAATGTTAGTAATCGGGGGATGTGGATTTTATTAACTTTCTACTGATATATAAAATATTTATATTTATTTATACAATTTGTTACAAACCAAAGCAAATTAAAGAAAATTCAACCAGAAATTTTGGAACATCAAGTATCATTCTTAAATTTGAGCAATTTATACTCAAAATTTTGATATTAACTTTGATAGGCTACAGTGCCAATCGATAGAGAATATTATCAGTTTTCTAATGACATATAAACATTTGCAAATGTTTAAACAAATTACAACAATATAAAGCTTGATATAAAATAAATGCAACCAATCAACTTGAAACAAAGCAGTATTAGGAGTTAGAAAGGAACTTTGAAATGAAATAGGATGAAATAAAATTGTTTATTAATTTTTATTAATCACTTCAGTATAAAACACAATATTTTTAAAGCACATATGCATTTGTTTATAAAATATAAACAATTTTGTTAAAATTGTCTTTCAGCAATTTTCATATTTCCACATATAATTTTATACACAACTTCGTTTTAAGTCTTATTATTGTTTATATATACATTTGTTTATAACTTTATTATTTGTTTATGCAATAAATTAATTTTTACAATCCAAAACCCACACACAAAATTTATCCGACGGTTTTTTTGATAAACAAAAAAGTATTGTTCACGTTTTTTTTTCAAATTTTAAATAATTATTAAAATATTTTATAAAATAACTACAAACAGTTTTTATTTTCAAATCACTGTTATTTCATTTAATTTTTGGTATTTAGTTTAAAAAAAAAAAATTTAATCCGGGCGGCAGCGACCCGGAACAAAATCTCTCGTACTAATAATTTGTTTTAAAAGCTTTTTTTGGTTATTAATAATTTAAGTATTGTCTATCAAATTATAAAAATTAATTGACAAATTTTCAGCAAATTTAGCCATTATAATGGTATATGAAACATATAAATTATTATATTTTTTGCAGTTAAATTTATTTTTTTTAATAATAATTTATAAATTACATAAATTATATCACTTTTGTTTGATATTTTTATATTTAATATTTAATAACAAACACAAATATATAAATATTAATCATTTATTTTAAGTTAATAATTTTGTATTATTCTTTTTTTTTCATTTTTACGCCAATTTTTTCACATTTTGGCAAAGTTTCTGTACCAATTTATTTTATTTTGCTCAAAATAAACACACACACCACACACACTTCAATTTTTTTGTCCAACTTTTTGACACATTTTATTTTAATTTTTTGTATTATAGTTTATAATATTTTGACTCACATGCTATTATATAATATTAAATTAAGTAAATGGACACTTTTCATTAAAGGTTCCGTACCAATTTATTCACTTTAGTGCAATCAAAAAAATTGGTGACATACTAAACACACTCAATTTGTTTAACTAATTTTTTCAAAAATTTTCACTAATTTTACCAAACCAAATTTACACAATATCAATACAGCTATTGAAATATTTTTTGCAACTATTTTCAAAAAAGGTTCCGTACCAATTTTTTTACTTTTACACAATCCAAATTAATGGTAGTAACATACTAAACCCACTTAATTTGTTTAGCAAATTTCAACCAATTTTTACAAATATTTTCTTAACTGTTTTCACCAAACTAAATTCACACAATTTTAATACAACCATCAAAGTATTTTTTGTAACTATTTCCAAAAAGGTTCCGTACCAATTTATAAATTTAAACAGAGATCAAAGATTCCATGAGCATCTTTGATTGTATCAATTGTAGAACTGGACGGATTTTAGATCAGATTTCTGTCCGGGTTACCAATTCATATATAATATTATGTATATATACAAATATACATACATATATGTATATATGTATATACATATATATGTATATGTATATATGTATATGTATACATATATATATATGTATATAACGTTGGAGGGGTAGATTTTGCCTTTAGGGGTTGTACATGCGCTGGAATTTATATGTATATATGTATATATGTATAAATATGAATGTGTGTATGTGTGTATATATGTCTCTCTTTGACTTGCAGGGTTGGTTTAAAAAAGGTTTACACCCTTTGCATCATTAAAAAGGGATACAAAAAAGTAGATCTATATATTTTATATAGGTATATTTCTTCCAATTTATTATCAGACTTTTTGAAATATATTTTTGTCATCTTCAGGTATAATATTTATATATTTGTTTAAATAATTTTGAAAAGAAAACTACAGATGTTTTAGTGTCCAGATTTGCAATATTAAAGTTTAGTGCAATTTTTACATAAAATTTTGTTCTAAACTTTTTTAAACTATAAATGCTAGTTTATAGATAATTTCATCAGCTTTTCAAAAATACATAATATTTATATACTTGTTTAAATAATTGTCAACAAAATTCAGCAAAATTTAAAAAAATGTATCTGTCCTTTGCCCAGTACCCAGGTTTGCAATGTCATAGTATAGTGCAATTTTTACATGAAATTTTGTTCTAAACTTTTTCAAACTATTGATGCCAATTTAATTATAATTTTATCAGCTTTTCAGAGATATATAATAATCATATACTTGTTTTAATAAATCTCAACAAAATTTAGCAAAATTTAAAAAAAAATGTAACTTGCTTTTGTATACCAAATTTTTTAGAGTTCACCAAGTACCCAGATTTGCAATGTCATCGTTTAGTGCAATTTTTATATTAAATTTTGTTATAAACTTTTTTAAACTATTAATGCAAATTTAATGATAATTTTATCAGCTTTTTAAAAATGTATAACATTTATATACTTTGTTTAAATAATGTTCAACAAAATTTAGCAAAATTTGAAAAAAATTAACTAGGCCTCAAAGTATTAATTATAGAAAAAAGTTACTATATATATATATATATATATATATATATATATATATATATATATATATATTGAATGGTAGAGTCTTGGATTTGTGTATATTTTGTAGAGTTTCGAACAAGAATCCAAAAATAATACAAAATAAAAAACAAGAAAAGTTTAAAAAAAAAACAATTTCTTTATTTAATTATTTGTTTATTGTCGACGTTTCGGAACTAGGTACGTTCCATCTTCAGGACATCTGTCAAGAAACATGATCTTGATGAGATTTTAGCAAACAATATGTTTAGGAAAAGAAAATAGATTTTTCTTAAATAATGAATTAAATTGTAAAAAATATAATAATGTACAGAAATATGATAATATGTTCAAAATAAAAATGATAAAAATAAATGAGTGGATTATCAGAACAGGATATTAAACATAATAGAAAATTTTTTGAAAGTTATGGAAATTTTTTAAGAAAAGGTTAATGACAAAGTTGAATTAATTACCTGTATGTTTGAATATTTGTTAGCACTTTTTCACTAAACAAGCTTTTTTAAAAAAGCTTGTTTAGTGAAAAAGTGCTAACAAATATTCAAACATACAGGTAATTAATTCAACTTTGTCATTAACCTTTTCTTAAAAAATTCCATAACTTTGAAAAAAAATTTCTATTATGTTTAATATCCTGTTCTGATAATCCACTCATTTATTTTTATCATTTTTATTTTGAACATATTATCATATTTCTGTACATTATTAATTTTTACAATTTAATTCATTATTTAAGAAAAATCTATTTTCTTTTCCTAAACATATTGTTTGCTAAAATCTCATCAAGATCATGTTCTTGACAGATGTCCTGAAGATGGAACGTACCTAGTTCCGAAACGTCGACAATAAACAAATAATTAAATAAAGAAATTGTTTTTTTAAAAACTTTTCTTGTTTTTTATTTTGTATTATTTTTGGATTCTTGTTCGAAACTCTACAAAATATATATATATGTATGTATGTATGTATTTATGTATGTATGTATAAAGTGGCCCTTAGGTAATTTTATGACTGTTTTAATAATAATATAACGTTTCTTCGTTATTAGCAACGTCTTATATGCAGAAATAATTATTGGGAAAAGTCAGTTGCATATTTATTCATTTATATATATATATATATATATTATATATATATATATATATATAATTATATGAATGCAGTTGGCTGTAAAATCCGGTACTAAATTATTGAGGTTTAAACTTTAACTTTAACAAAACACGATTGTAAAACCATTTTTTATAACGCCAATATACAAAAAAACGTACACAAAACATTTATTTCATTTTCGAAGCCGATTTATGAGTACACCGAGTTGGTGTAGGAACTTTTTATGTGAGACAATATTATAAATTGATCAATTCTAAACAAATTCTTTGAATACATCATTCATATTAATCGAATGGTTTGGGAGTTATAGAAGTTCTTTGGAAGCAATGTATTTCGACGAGCCAGAATTAAAATCCATATTTAAAAGTATACCGAGTTGTCGTAAGATTTCCAAATATATGACAAACTTGTAGACTATTTAATTTTAAACAAATTTGTCATATACATCATTCATGTTAATCGAATGGTTTTGAAGTTATGTAAATTATATAAAAGTGATGCATTCAAGCCTTCTAGACACATACTTTAGAATTCAAAGCGATTTTAAAGTATACGAAGTTGCTTTAGAGTGTTTTGATGTTAGACAAAGTCATAGATTAAACAAATTTGTCTCAAGCATCATTGATATCAATCGAACGGTTTTTGATTTATAAACGCAAGCAAAAAGAGCACTTCAAGCAAGTTGCTTTCAATATTCTCTGTTCAATTATATTTTAGAGTATACCGAGTTGCTCTAAGGACTTATGTTGTTAGAAAAAATTGTTGATGATTCAATTTTAAAC